CACCTACACAGACGACCTAAAATGTAAAAATCTACACAGACCGTGTTTTGATTTGGGAGTAAAAAAAAAAAGTACCACAGTCAGAGCTTTCAGCTAGCTTTTTCAAAAGACAAAAGCTGCTGCGTATATAAGGGTATATAAATGTGAATTTCAAGTAAAATCACCTCTGAAGAGGTAAGCTAGCAAAGTGTACTGATAGGCTATGGTAAGTGGAATTCATAGCAAATCCAGTTACTGAACAACGGACAGGAGCAAAATGTTCATAGAAAAGTCTGTATATAATCTAGACTTTATTAAAAAGCCCGCAAACTTTCTGAATGCTGATGTACCATCCCATCCAATGCACACAGAATGCTGCTCTTGAGAAACCCTAGGAAGCAGTTTTAGTCTTGGTCTTCAGATTACAAAAATGTAAGGTCAGAAATAGGTTGTTTACACAGGCTACCAAGGAGGGTATAGGAACAATTTCCTTACAGCAGAATGGTAAAAATAGAGACTGTCAATTTATACACCATCAGCCTCAATTAAAAACTGAGCTTTGATATGTTCAGAAAGAGGGGAGGAAGACTGAGTTCATATTTCACAGTAAAAAATGTATTAATAAGAAATGAAGATGTAACACTTACTTCTGCTGCCAAAAGATAGGGCAAATCCTTCTCTAATAACAGTGACATTTCCTCAACTGTCAATTTAGGATTTACCAGTGGAATCCAAATCCGAGATCTGGTGGTTGGATGCTTACATTTCTTCTGAAAAAACTGGAGTAGATCAAAGTCCAAGATGAGATGTAAACATATCAATACTCATTTAGCAAACCCAATTTTCAGCCAAATGTGAACCAACAACCAACTGCAAAAAGCCACCATGGTAATTGCCTAATGCTAATGCAAGATGATGAGAATACTGTGCAGTTTTGTTTAAAAGCATGAAGGTGGCAAAAATGATGCAAAAATATGCAAGAATGTGTTCTCAAAGCTCATCTGAGGATTAGATTAGGAAGACAAAGAGTAAGTAATTTATAATGAGGAGTAACATTAGCTAAGCTATGACATGCCACATAAGGCAAAGTTACAAGCCAGGGAAAGGCCACATTCGTGTCTCAGAAAACAAGCTAAAAAAGACTTCCAGATTAAAATAAAAGGTTTGTTTTACCCTGGTGAACCTTTCCCCACAAAAAAACATATCTCTGTTTTCTTGGTCGTTGTTCATAGCCTTTGAGCTAGACAACACCACACTGAAGGGTGACTTGTCTGTGCGAAGTTAATGCTTCCTAGACATGGTATACCCCCAGAAGTAACCCCTAACAAATGGGCCGCAATCTGACAGGCAATGAGTTCAGCCTACTTTCAACAATGTCCTGAACTTACACCCATCACTAGGTTGGGAAGAAAACAATGCTGAAGTAATAACAAATTTAGTGGAAAGGACTGCAGTCAGATGTGCGTCTGCGTGTAGTATTGTTAAGGTGCAGCCTGGCACCGGTGATGGATGGGCTGCTGCGAGCTGACACGCTGCTTAAAAGAAAACCAAAGACAGGAACAGCTACAGGTTAGAACCCAATAGAGAGGAACAGAGAAACTCTGTTCTTGGAGGAAGCTGATCTGTGTTGGGTGGTATTCATCTCACCTAGTTTTAGACCTCCGTAGCGTGTGTGTGTTGTGTTACCATTTCAGAAATGGCTGGAAGCAGTGACACATTTTGAAGGTTTAAAACCATACGTGAACATACACAAAATGCGGTATTACTAAAGCATCAAGACTTATGCCTTATTTTGTACGTAACCTGTAAAGCACAACCAATCCAACACTTCTCTCCCATCCTCTACACCTGAGACATGGGCTCTGCTTCCCTCACCCCAACCACCGGCTATCACAGTGCTATTGCCTCTCCTCAGCAACATGCTGGTGCAGAGCTAATATACCTAGGGTTTTGGGGAGCCAGGGGCTCCAGGAAGGAGTTATGCCAAGATAGGGCAGCCCATATCCCAAAGGAAGCACAAAAAAATGTTCTCCCTAGCTGCCATGTGGTGGAGAAATCAGGAAAAAAGATCCTACCTCGTCTCACTCTCTCACTTCACTGAAGTCACAGCATGCAAGAGACTACCTCTTCCCCACAAATGACCCACTGGCCCCTTTTCCAAGAGACTTAGTAATATTGTGACTTAAGTACTTTAATACAGCTATTAACATCGTAAAAATATTCCCCTGAGATCAATCACTGCTGAAGGATGGTGACTCACTGCTGCAGAACACCGTGAGAATGCATTCTACCAAGCATCCTCCCTTTGGGAAGACTCAGTTTCTTATAAATAGTGCTAAGCAGCAGAAAAAGATACAATTGTCAGATGAAAAACGTAATTACTGAAAAAACAGCCTAAGACCACCCTAAAACATTCCTGACATTCCTGAAAGGAAATAGTCTGATGTTTCCATGTTTTAATTTATATCCTGTGTTGTCCAATTTTGCAAACTGGGGCTAAAGAGGGTTGAAAAGCTTGAAACAAAAGTGCTTCACTTGATCCAGAACCTTTTTTTTTTACCTTTTCCATGTTACTGGCAGCAACAGTGTTGTGAGTAACCGCAGCTCACAAAGGGCTACCTGACTTTCTGCTGGTGTAAATATGGACAAACAGATCCTTGCGCAAGGTCTGTAATCGTTCTAATTGCAGAGCATTGCACACAGACTTAAAATAAGTTATTCTAATAAAGTGACTAGAATCACTATGGTCTATGCTATAAAGAGCTTAGATTCAGGGATACAGGTCCCTCTGCCTGTGAAAATTCATACCCTCTATTTAACAGCCTATCTTCCTTCATATAGCTGTTTTGAGCACAATGTTATTAGGTGTGTGGCCATTTAACAAACCATTTTCCCATATCTTCTTGAAATTAAGACACTCATATTTTATGATGGCCATCACTTACCAATTCTTTCTATTAATTTTATAAGAAATCATTTTATAGATTTTATAAGAATCAGGTAGAAGCTCAATATTCAGGATACACTTTTCATACAGGTGCACTCAGTTGTGTCTGCCAGCTTCAGTTCCAACTGGATTATTTGCTGCATGAGTTGTTGAGCTATACCTGATCTGAAGACCAACATGACTTTTCAGATTTCTGCCAAGCAGCATTATATTTTTTATGCTTTATCTTGCCCTTTATGTCCACCTTTGACAATACACAGTTGCTGTTTCTGTGCTGTCTCCCAGTTTATAGTACATCACACATGCAATGCGTAGACATACATTCAATAAGGTTACTCAAATAGGAAGCCTCTCCCTAATAAAATATTTAACATGCATCTATCAGAACAGTAGCTAGTTATCAAATGAGGTGGATATGACTCCCAATAAGCTTGTCTTACTGTCTTGTATTCTTAAAGCTAATAATAGCATTACCAAAATGTCTAAGCGTATTCTTTGGAAAAGAACAAAATAAACAAAATTCCCAGTAGAGGAGAAGGAGGCAAATTTGCATCTGTACAGACAGAGTATATTTATCTATACAGCTTTTGTTGTTAATATTTTTGCTTGTTTAATGATTGATATTTTCAAAGCTTTCTCTCCTTAAAGGATATTTTTTGTCAGGAACATTTAGATTTGGGGTTGAAGATTACTGTTCTATTCTTATAGTGAAATTAACTCCTTTTCTTCAAAGAAAGCTTTTGAAGTGTTTCTTATATATGGTGGAAGTACAGATTGACAGCACAATGATCCTCTTTACTATTCTTATGATCAGCAGCTGTTAACCTATTTTTATCAACAACTTCATTACTCCAAGAAATGCTTTTGCAAAATGTGAATGCAGCTGGTGAGATCATTCCACATGAGCAGTTTTCTCCCCATGAATTTATACAAGCAGGTTCCAAAAATCTCACTTCCAAGAAGCAACCAACCACCAAGCCATCCTCCTTCAACACACAAGGCCTCCTCTTCTTTCCACTCATGCTTTAGGTAAGCAAAACCCACTCATGTCATAGATCAGCATCTCCCAGACACCTTTATGTCATCCGTCTGAGAGCTTCAGCACCCTGCCTAAGGCCTTTGGTGAGCTCCACAACATCCTGGGATGCCACACTGTATACAGAGCCCAAACTAAGTCCTCAGAACTGGTTTTCCCATGTTGGATGCAATCTCAGGTATCTTCGCTTTCAGATTCAGACAGAAAGAATAAAAAGAGCATTTTCTGACTGCAGCAAATACACAGACCAATATCACAACATCAAGGAGGAAAGGATGGAGTTTCCAAAGCAGAAGATGGTATTTGGAGCTCTGTTGCCCTCTGTGTCTCTAGAAGCATGAGCAAGGAAGACCCTGACTTAGCCTTGGTACTCTGACTACTTGCATCTTTTAGACATTCACGATCAGGACCTGCTATGCATCAGGTAAGTCATTATACTGTATGAACTGTGGGCACAGTGCCAAATTATCCCCCAAGAAATACTAAGGAAGGACCAAAAAATACAGTGAAACTCTATTCCTTCAAGTGTAAGAATAAGAGGGATGCTTTGGGCACTTTCAGACTGAGCACTGGAAGCCGTGACAGGGCATGGGAAATCCCATTCCTTGACCTGTGTAAGGAATACAGCTTGGCCTGTCAGCGATTTTATCCTCTCTTCCTCTCTGTATGATCTGCCATATGCTTTCATTTATTGTCTGATGCATCTCTGCTCTATGATCCTAAGAAAGAACTTCAGAATTGAGTAGGTTCTCAACAGATAAATTAATATGGAATAATACAAATTTCTCACAGATACATGTTTTATAAAAATAGCATGCATACTATGGATGAGAAGAGCAAGAAAGCAGAACATTAAATTCACCCAACTATTTTCTAGTTCCCATATGGTGTGTTTTAGCTAGTCATTGTTTCTGTATAGAGCACCAAGAACAAACACTACTTGTGTATGGACTTGATCTTTGTGCAATGTACACATTTACAATTTTAAATTTTTTTTTAATCTAACATGTCTACTGGGCCCATCTTTGATACACCTACCAATAAAACCTGAAGAAGGAGGGTTGGGCTGTATCTTCTCTTTAGTGTTCTCCTGAATGATGTCCCAGAGCTGCCATATAAACTTTGGATGGAGAATGTAAAACGGCTGGTTTGGATTCTTTCTGCGATGCTGTACATAGGGAGTGAACAGATTGTAGTCCGGCTTCTTATACCACTGGGAGGAAGAAAGTAAGAATTTTTTTAATCTTATAGTATCAAATGTGTTTTGAAAGCTACATGAACAACAACGTAAACTAGCTTCATTTGGGTTCTTCAGAACAGAAGCAAAGGTAGCAAAGCTGCCTGCACTGGTGGATGCTTCTCCTAGAATGCCAGTCCTCACTCTGGGCTATTCTGCTTCCTTTCTCCATACAGAGACTCCCAATAAGCAATTAACTGCAGCGGGACGAGCCAACCCCATCTTCCCTTCATAGGCCTGCGTCAAACAGGGGTTCAGAGAGCCTTGACGCAAGGTCCGGGGAGTGAACCTTCCTCTGGAAGTGTCCCTGTCCCTGATGGAGGCAGCAGCAGCACGTGAAGCAGGCTGACGGCAGCCTGCGTAGGAGGCAGGCAGCCTCTGGCATCTGTTGCTAAGGGAGTTCAGCAGATGAAGGTTTACTTTCTACTTTGCAGCCTGCTCAGCTCCGAGCTCCCCCTGCCAAGAACCATCAGATCAACTGGTCCACTGGAGCTGCAGCACCAGCCAAAGCAGAGACTCCCCCAGTGACAACCAGATGGACGCCTGCTGCTCGCACTGAGGGGGTGGACGGCAGGGCACAGATGGCTGTGGGGGAGTGGACACAAAGGGAAGACTGGTGGGGAGGAGGCCTGAGAAATGGGGAATGCACCAAGAGAGATTTTCATTAGGGTGTTGTATTTTGTCTGGGAAGGCAGAAGGGAAGGTGGGAAAAAATGGATGCAATTCTTCACCTTTCCTGATAAAAACTCCTTCTGAAATCTAGCAATGTTCCCTCCTTGGCAAACACATAGAAAACTCATTGTTATGTGAAAATATTGATATTTTATCAAAAAAACCCCATCATCCATCTATCCTAGCATCTCAGAGCAGTTCATTCCAGTACAAGTGCCAGCTAATGAAAAGCTTTTGACCAATAAACCAATTTTGACCAATTCATGCAGAAATAGCATTCCCCACTCCTTAAAGACAGACTTTGGGGTTCATTGTGACAAGTGAGAACCAGGAGACTAAATACATTCATTTTCTCCAGTGCTTTCAGACTGATTGGGAAGAAAGGTCCAAGCAGACATCTTACCACATTCAGATTTGCAGAGTAGGGGGCAGGATCCCAGGCTACTAAGATAACATCTTTGTACAAGGAGCTGTCGACAAAGTGATGGTTTGGATTGGTGAGAATCTGCAAACACAGATGCAAAGAATTGCACAGCGTTAAAAGCAAATGGGATCCAAAAAAATGGCAAAATCCTTCTCTAAAATGAACAGTCCTCCCCACACTGCTGTTTGTTCTGCTTTAATTCTGGTCGATTTTAAGCATCTTGTTTTGTTAAAAAAATATATAAAGAAGAGCTTAGCCATAAACAGCACTCATGACAGTTTGAAGTAGCAGTATGCTGAATTACTCTCCATCTGTGAGGGATGTGATGGGACCACTTGAGATGCTGCATAATTGTATATCAACGTTACTGTGTATTCTGGAACTTGAAAATGAAAGCTACAGTATTTCAGACCGCCTGCAGGATCCTCTTCTTAGATACAGAGCAGCTTTCTTTGAAGGGCTACAGCCCCCAAGGATAACGTCTTTCCCTGCACTCCCACCCCCCTTTCTCATTTCAACAGCAAGACAGTCTCATTTCAAGTAACTCTAAAAAGGCAAATTAGACCATGACTGTAAAAGCTGGTATACCTAGAAAAATAATTCCAGGAACATGCACATGATAGGGCTATTTTTGAAGTAGCTGTCATATTGCTGTCATCTACTGCTCTCATATAACTCCCTCCCGCATCTCCTGGTACTCTGCCTGATCCTCCCACCCCACTGGAAGTTTACTCTTTGCTCCTGCTGGCTCATCCTTTCCCGGACCCTCCATGCCTAACCAGATCTCTCTGATCCCTGGTGCATCCAAACTCAGGCAGGGTTGAGCTGAATGATTTCAGCATTGGTTGAAACAGTGTGAATTTGGCTCCAGCTGTTACACTAATCAACATTCCAGACAAATAAATGTGTACTAATTTTCATTTCCCTTTAGGATCCAATGAGCCATATTTGATTATGCATATTTTTCTTCAGAAAAATAATATTGTTGCCATAGCAATATTCTTCCTACCATAAACTTCAAGCTTAATGACTTTCCATCAGCCTTCTACAAGAACAGAATTAGTCCTGCTGCCATCAGCATCCTCAACTCCATTTCTCAGAGCAGTTTTCGCCTGAGAACGTAAACTTCTTTTTTGAGAGAACAGAGTAAACAGACCAAAAGGTCAAGCTTTTAAAAGCTCGGTTCCTCAGTTGTCACACAATGGAGCTCTTACTTGCCTTTCAGTAAGCAAGAGTCCTTTGGAGGTGGTGTCCACACAAATTTCGCTCTTAGTGAGTCTGCATTCATATGTATGAGATGAGTTTCTTCTGGAAGAACAATATCTGTTGTGGCTGCACTGGCTTCCTTCACAGCAGAGAACATGAGGGAAGAAGAAGGCCACAGCAGCCTTTTAATCAACTGAATGCAGGAATTTCCAACAGCGAGGAGGGAAGGAGTAAAGCTGTATGGGTAACCCATCTTCGGTACTGGTAGGGAAAGCAACTTTTATCAAGTGGCCTGTGCAGATTTCACCCCCAGAGAGGGGAAGGCCAGTTTCTCAGCAGGTGGCCAGAGCATCACGAGTGGCCTCTTTGAAAGAGCAGAAAGGCAGTGGGAATAGGAACACTTGTGAGGAAGCTGTGTGAGCTGATTTGGCCTGAACTTTAGCCATGCCTGTGTTTTCTTGAGAGGCCTTGTGGAGAGCAAGCAATGTACAGCGCAGCAGAGAAGACCACGGGACCCTCCATTACCACCCCAGTGGGAGCGTACCACAACAGCTCTGGGAGCCAAGAGGACCCCAGCCTGCCGCCGGGATCAGAGAGCAGCTAATTCAGCCATTTAGTCTCTCTGAATACATTGGGGAGCTAACAAAGCTCAGATCATTCCCTCGAAGCATTTCTCTCTTCTGCTACAGGGAGCCTACTGAGACTAGTCAACTAAATAAAGTTTCTAAACCCTCCTCCTTGCCTGGCACAGGAGTTCAGGCATGGTCAGCACCAGAATGTTTTGGCTAACAGTAAAACAAAGAACAGTCAAAAAAAAGTACCCAACAAACCCCAAAAAGTAAAATAAATGACATTAAGATCAATGTTCTCTGATACACTAATCTCAGCACTAAAGCCAGAGTAAGATATTTCTGCTTTCTTCCCCTGAGCAAAAGAAAGTGGGCATATTTAACCCAGGTCACTTCAACGGTCCAGTCTGTCCTGCGGCCTCACAAAGAGCTACAAAACAAGTGTGAAGGGAATGCCAGTGAACAGTCCTCTCTGTGGTAGCAAAGAACTTTAACTTGTACACACAGAGAACACACCCACCAAGGATGGACTTTGCATGGGCAGTCACTCAAAGAAGAAAAACCAAACTGATAAGAACTACGGTAAATGCAAATTTTGCTCTCATTCAGCAAGAATCAGTATGTATAGAGCATGCTACATGGCCAACCATACTACTGGTGTTGATTAAGTAAACTTGCCACTTCAGTATGTCATAAAATCTCACAGTAATTCTGTTGTTGCTTTTGGGCTGCATTTCATAAAGAGGAAAGACGCTTGGTTTGCCCAAGACCAGAGCTCAGGCAAGTTTTTTCAAAACTGAAAAACCACTCTCAACCATAAGGTGTCACTGTAGCTCAATGCACAACTATTTGTTGACACCCATATACAGAAAATCCCATTTTCTGTTTCCATTCAGACAAACAAACTCACCTTATGTGTAATATCCAGCGTACATTAAAGTTTTTTACTAGTTCATTCCAAATTTTTAAAGAACGATGACTTGCCTAAAGTTATATATTAAGACAACTCAGTTCCCATTTCTTTCGCCTTCCAGCAAGGAAATAATTGGGGAAATGGAGAATATGAGGAAAGAGCTTTGGAATCCCCACAGCCCGGGCTTTGTGAAGATCCCAGAGGCATTGCGGTGAAGGCCTTCTGTACTGCCAACTCTGGCATCCTGCAGAGCCTTTACAGATGTAGGTCACATGAAAAACCTTACAAACCAATTCTTTAAAACAAGGCTATCAAGTAACTATGCAATCACTCTACAGCAACAGCAGCATGAACGTCCCTGTGAGGGAGAACTTTTACCTGCTCTACGTCGTGACTGTTAAATCACTACCTATTTCCCAGATTACCCAACACTTTCTCAGAAGTTATTAATTTAATGTCATATTGTACAGAAGTGACACTGACTTGAATTCACAAAAGGAAGATCTTACCTGAGAGTTAATGATCCGCATGGTTGTTTTATTTCCAACATCTTTTTCATAGCCACGTGTTGGAGCAGAATTAAATCTTAGAACAGCATCATGAGAATCTAGGAGCATAAATGAGGGGGTAATTTGTTTTTCTTAGTAATATAGAACAGAAAAATAGAACAAATGATCTAAACTAAGATAAAACTTACACATTTCTCCTAATCTTGATATTCTAAGGATGATAAACATTCCACTATGCTCAAACAAAAATCCTCTTGCATCTGTCATATGTTATTAACATTATTAAAATCCACCAGAAAAAAGTTCAGCATCATCTATTAATTTAGCTTGCAATACTGAAATATTTCTCTTAATTGGATAAACTTAGTGTGGCAAGGTTATTAGTACACCCAGTACACACAATTGCTTGCTATTTCTATTGCAAAATTTACAAAGAATTACTCCATGCAAAAGCATGTTAATTGCAAGGATATCTAATTGCACATTTGAATGAGTAACAATGCTTAACTATAAGCTTGTGCTTCACAGTATTTTATGATACCTGAAAATCTCAGACTACCCCAAACCTACTAATCATACCCTGTACTTATTCTCAAGGTCAGTACAAGTCTTAAATAGTCTCTGTAAAGAAGTCAGCCCACAAACCTGCTCACACAGAAACGTGAGGATCCCTTGGTAGCAAAGATCTAACAGAGCTGAACTGTCAAAGTTTCCCCACAAGCTGGTGACCTCGGAGTCATGCAGAATAGAAAGCAGCTATAGGTCAAGTATGGGTCAAGGGTAGATGCTGTGTGCAAGGCTCCGCTGGATAAAAGATAATCACCCTCCCAATGCTTCTTTTAAGGGGATCTCAAAGCCCAAAAGGTGTGAGGGAGAGTACAACATTATATCTGTTGTCCAGAAACATACTGTTCCTGTCAATAGCCCCCTCTTTGGTCTACTTTTAACCCTTCCATCAATGGAAGCAGAGAATATGACTCAGGCCAAAATGGACTTGTAATGCCTTAACCCATAGGTAGTTTATACAGCTGTTTATCTTGTCATTTAAAATGTGGTTATCTGTACCTCAAAAATGGAAGAGGCAGAAGTTTCCGAAGATAACCAACATGCTTCAATGGAGTTCAGGCCTAATCCTATCAAACTGGGATCTTCCGTCCTTTCACACCTTCACTGCGCACTTCTTGTACTCCAGAAAAGAAAACGTGTGACATGAAGCCAGCAGTCCAATCTCAGCTGTACTTGCTTGCTGTAACATGTTGTGTCCAACTCCTCAGAATCTAAGGAGTGAAGGCTTTTTCTATGTCCCTATGCAGGGACAACCCTAGCCTCAACACCTAGCCTTCATCTGCCTAAACATAAGCATCTTGATCATGTAGGAGCTAGAGGTCATGAAGTCAATAGAAGCTGCAGGTACTCCACATTTTTGGAAAAGGAAAAGAAAAACAGAGGTCCTTTATAATTGAAACCTGCTTATGAATTTAAGAACCTAAATTTGGACCTGCATTTGACAACTTTTTGACAACCTGTTGACTGAGAACTGGGAATTGGGTCGGGAAATAGGAATTGTATGGTTCGCAACTTAACTGAGAGAGTGTGCTCTATTTCCAACATGACCCATTCTAGTTCTTTGTATTAAGACCAAAAACCTTTCCTTCACCATAAAATATATGATGAAGATGCAGCTTAACACTGATAATAGCTGGTTTTAACTCAACCGATTTTAATCTTATTCAGTATTTGGAGATAATAATTTTAAAGATCTAAAAAGTTTGGGGTTTGATCACAGATCCCCGTTACTTCCTGGTGATGCCAAAATATTGGGTCTCCCATTGAACAGCATGACCACGATGGGAGTGTTCGCTGTACTTGCACAGTATTTCCATACCTATTTTCATTCCAAACCAATCAGAGGGGTGAGGGGGAGGAGGGCAAAAGGCAGAACACAAATTAACATTCCTGCCTGCGTTTCTAAAAGGATCACAGAAGAGGGAGCTAAAGGCCTATGAAGGGAAAGGTCCTCCGCTGCTGATTTCCTACACCTTTTCTTCTTTGGGAAGGATAAATAGTAAAAGCCTTTTGCCTGCAGCAACTTCATCAACCAAGGCTGTACAGCCCATGGCCCAAAAACCAGACCTCATGCATGGAGTGTTTTTCCACACTCCCTAATGATGCTGACTTTGCTGTGCCTCTGTGGACTTGGAACGAGTCAGCACGAGTGCCAGGCTGATTCCACAGAGCAGCACCACTGGCCACCCATGGAGCCTCCAAAATAGAAGGTTTGCTGGCATGTTCAACCAAGAGCTGTAGCCCTAGTGCCAGCTCTGGGAGAGGACAGTCTTCTCCTACAGCTGTGCATGCACAGGGAAAAAGACCATCTTGTACAGTTTGATCTTTCTCTTCCTTGTCAGACTCTTCTCACTTTTTCAAGGACTAGAGGGGAGGTGGAATGGCATGGCCAAGAGCTCAGCTGTACCGCATACTACCCGGACTCTGCAGGGGAAGCGTAATTTCTTCCCCATGGGAATAATACAACAGATGCTGGAGCTTCCATCTTCCATTGTAAGTGGGAAACACTGGCACAGTGTCTCCAGTATATCAGCACTTCGCAGGAGATGCACTGACCACTAAGACCCATAGGTTTGCACTAGGTCCTTCTGGTATGGCTGTAAGCAGTCAGTTGGTCCCCCCATAGTTCTGGGCCAAATTCTCTGCTCAGTAACAAGTACCTGCCCATGACCTGGAAGACACTGGAAGAAAAAACCTTCTGTGACTCCTGCTGCCCCACACTTTCCTGTAAAACAGGTAGGAGGAGATGTGAAACTTCTGCATAGGCCTTACCAAACAGCAACTCCTCCCTTCAGGCAGCATCAGATGACAATTTCCCAATTAAATCGAAAGCTCTTCCTCAGAGATTGGCATAAGCTTTCTGTGCCCAGAGTGTTCCCGAGAAAAGGGGTACACACAGGAGTATACGGGCTCCAGGTACCACGTCAAGCACCAAAGTCCACACTTGGGCTGCACCTGAGTGTGCAAATATGTCACGATGCATGCTGTAATATGTAATTATGTAAATATATCACAATGTGCTATGGATCCTCCAGTACAGCACTAATCTGTACTGGTGTAAACCAGTTGTACTGGGGAACACTGACAGAAGATTTCGTTTCAGTCAAGGATAACACATTAGAGAAGGGAGGCACTGTTAAGCTTTTTCACCCCAAAGATTTCTAAATCAGTTGGGCTTCCTGTGGAATTGGGTGTTACCCTGGTGTGATTTTAGCTGCAGGCCAGCCAGGCACCCGTGCTGTGCTGGAAGCCTATTAGAGTAGTTCAATAATGATAGCAGCTCTAATATATCCCAGAGATTTAAAGGAAACCCATCTGTGTCAAAGAGATGATACAGTGCAATGAAGCAGGTATTGGGATGTGAAGTCCTGGAAGATGGGAGGATTAATGAGTGCACATCAAAAGGTTTTTATAGAGAGCTGAAGGAAATAACTCTTCCTGCTCCAGAAGCAAGTTTGAGACATACATTTCATCCTTCTTTCAGCACTTTTAGCATACCGCACATGTAATACTAAAAGAAGAACTACTGAGATGTTAACACAAGTAGTAACACTCGTTTGTGAAAAGAAAAGATAAAACTGACCTGGATTAGTTTTATAGCTCCGCAATCCTTTTCTGAATAGCTACCACAAAACTCCACCTTGAAGTGGTGAATTCTGCGTGTCATTAACATCTCAGCACCTGCAACCTTACTGACTCAGTGCAGCAATGGAAAAGAACAATGGGAGGAGATACTTCAACTCATTTAAATTCAGTCTTGGAAAAGAGGTCAGGGGACTTGACCTCAGTGGATGAGGCTGCTCAAGGGTCTGAATTCTCTCTGTCTGTGAACTCTAAACATGCAAGGGATGAAGAGGATGCTCTGCTGCTTCTTGGCATGGAGACAAAGTACAGCCTGGGATAGCAACACCACATGCAGTTTCTCTATGAGCCACGGCAAAATACGGACAGGTACAACACAGCTTTGCAGAATAAAACCTGAACTTGGCTCTAATCTGCTGAAGAAATAAACACATGTTGCAGCAAAATGTCAAATATGGCAGATTTGATGAAACCAGTGCCTCCTTTATACTACAAGCTATAATATGATAAGAAGGCATGATGGTTTTCTTTAAATCAAATTATGACTTCAGGCCTGATTTTCCTTTCAGTTATATTGTCCTGAAAGGGAACAGCTTCACTGAAGTCCATAAGCTCACACTCATGTAACACTGGTGAGAGAGAACAACCAGGCTGTACAGACCTATGCTTGAGAAGAATGGACCTTTTGAAAGACAAACATGAATACACACATGTACATATATATGCACATGGATAGATGCATTTCACCCACCTATTTCATCCCCTAGAGAGGAGTTCAGTATTGCACCAGCAGACATAACTACAGCACAGCTCCCAAAACCATGTGTATACAATTTGCCCAGTGGAATTTGGGGAACGTGCTTTTCCCATCCAAGAGTGGAGAAGGGAGCCTCCTTGCCATCTATTGTTTTCACATTCACCCTTTCTTTTAGCTCGCAAAATAGCTGGTCTCCTGTCAACTTGGAGTTTCGTTTCCCCTTGAACCGCACCCCATGCTTATTGGTGCTCAAATAATCTTTCATCGCCTTCTGCAGTCGAGGGTTTAGCATCTTGGAAGAGACATCCCCTTTCCAGAGCTTGTAAAGAAAGGATTTCGACATTGTGGAATATAGCCCATCCCAGTCATCAGATTCATCAAGCATCTGGCTTCTCCTGTGCTTTGTGCTCCTTCTCCTCATTCTTCTCTGATGGCTCCAGTCATTCTGTAAAATATTTACTTTTGGATTATCCTCATCGGCTGAGATGAATTTTGCTATCTCTTGAAGGTGGTTGTGCGACCGAGGCTGACCAGCAGCAAATAAATAATCGTCATTCACTTGGTAGAAAGCACTTTTTGATTTTCTTCCTACCTGGGATGGAAAAAACTCATCTTCATTTCTAAAGGCATCTTCCAAATCAGTCCATTTCTTAATACTTCCAGTTCCCGATTTAAATGTACCTAAGAGATCTTCATTGAGAAGTACCTCATTCCCTTCAATGGTTTCGGAGAATGACGGATCATGTATGGCTCCCATGATGACTCTCTGCTTGCCCTGAAGGGGCAGAAGCCTCTTAGTTTCGATGTAAGAAAAGGAACTGGGAACTGGTTCAGCAGTGTTGCTATCTGTAAAATAGATGAATATCACCAGAAAAAGCAGACCCCATGCAAAGATCCCAAACAGCATGAGTTGTTTCCATTGCTTCAAGTTAGGTTTCATGGCAATGCCTTTACCAGCTCCTCTTTGCCTTGAAGTATTGGTGAAGGAAAATGAAACCTGGAAAGAACATCAAATATTAATCAAGAATGGTTCTAAAACCAGACACAATTCAGAAATATCTTAACACGCTTCGATAGAAGGTGCAGATTTAATCTCCAAGCTGTAGCACGGAGGATTCAGAAGCAGAAACAAACTCCAGAGCCTGCAGACACTGTAGGAGTGACACACTTTGGCTGTAACCACACAGTGACAGCTGCTAGCTACAAAAGAAGCTGGTGGCCAGTTTCTACAGTAACACTGGATCCTGCCTTCAGGGAGATCATGTGCCTGCCTGCTTCTGCTATACTGAGCGTAGCATTAAGAGAGCAAAAGCAAAACCCATGCCTGGCTGTATGCACAGTGGGGACAATGTTAGCTGTCTTCTCTTTTGCCATTGAAAGTCCTTAGGCAGTGGGACTGTGAGCAAGCTTGTCCCCACAGGGACCAGGCAGGGACCACAAACTCTCAGCTGGACAGCCGTCCTCTGCCCACAGCCTGGAAAGGATGGTGCTCTGTGGGTATCATCAAGGGGGAACAGGGGAGAGCAACACACGAGCGGGTCAGAGGGGAACCTTTTCTTTTCCTCAGCTGGTGTGAACAGGCACAGCATCAGTGGGCCACATCATTTGCTGCCCAGGATCAGGCCCAAATAAGAGCGACTGTTGTACCTCTGCTATGGATACTGCACATGCACTGAGGTGGCATGAAGGAGTTCTGCACATCAAGGCGTGAGGAGTTTGCGTTTTCCAAAAAGGGGGATGGGTGGCACAACTAACTAAATACATGCCTTTAGGATAGAGATTTACATAAAGGGGGTGGGTTGGGAATGTCAGACCTAGACTTGGAAATCTCTATTAATACCTGGGGATTTTGGACAGCTTGTTCATTTTTGGAGGGATGCATGGTCCAAAATAAAATAAAGTCTGACTGAGGGGGCTGTGTTCCAAGGAAAATACACTAGCACACTGCTGGACCATCACGCGCACTATGTACTTACACGAACTCACTTGCTTAATCAAGTGGTGTAGGCATCGGCGGCAAAGCTGGCTGAAGAAAGTCCAGCCCTCCCCTATCATAAACCTTATCATTCACCTCCCTGCACCATAGTCATTGTCAGCCTCAGTTGCTACACTGCAGTGTAATTCAGTGTACTACTTAGTGACAGTTCGCTTACCTGATCAGGATTAAAAATAAGCCCCTTCTTCTGGAGTTTTTCTAACCCCATTTGTTTCAACGACCGCTTAATGGTGGGACTTAAGAGCCACTTGTACCAGCCAGCTGTGACCAGAAAGGGGAACGGGAGTGGGGGCAGGCTTGGATTTCATTAACAGTCTGCGCCTCAGGAGCCACTATCTCATCACATCGCATCCGAACAGCACACACAGCTTACACACCTCTGATAACACACTGCCTGCTTACACCTGACCATCAGGAGGGACCAAAAACGCAGTCACCATACGCTATCACCTTTCTGCAAGCTGCTAAAGCACATCAAAGCTAAGTGCAAAGTTTAGACCAAAGGTGTAACTAAGGCTGTGTTTTCACATCAAAAAGAAACCAGCAGTAAGGTGTAAGGCGTTCCCCACTCTGTCCCTCATTCCTGCACCATGCCCCCACCGCTGCCAACACCCCTGTCTATGGGGCTCGCATATTACAAACTGGACCAGTAAACTGATACAGCAGGGGTTTAGCGTGGGGAAATATAAGTTAGAGGATTTGTTTCGTTTGGTCTGGTTTGGGTTTTTTAAACCGGGTCAGCTCCTTTATCCACTTCAGTGTGGTCACACATCCAGTTGTTTCAGCACAAATGAGGAGATTGCCTACCACAATGCAGAGGCGAGAACAAACCGCAGGTGGTATTAGCAGGGATACTTGAGGCTAGCATTTCTGCTGACCTCCCGGGAATGCGAGGCCACAGCATTACATTTCCAAACACAGTCTATTTTAATGATCTAGACAAAGCCTAGAACATTAAAAAAGCAAGACTTGAGGCACATCCAAACAGAGAGAGGATTCATAATGTCACACTTGGATGACCAAATTTCATTGCAAACACATTCATTTCTATTAAACTGAAGAAAAAAAAAATCATGAGTGCGATAACCCTGTGCTCCACACACGTTTGGCTTGGCTCACACAAACCACATGGAAAAAAGCTATTACTCCAACTGACCCATTTCCTACTTGCACTCTGCTGCTGCAAGATTGCTCTCTGCAGCACCCCGAGGCTCCCCGCCCCCCCGCCCCCTTCCAATTTTAAATCACTGCAGGCAATGTCCTGTGGGAGTCGGCTTACAGTATATGACTGTTGTGCAACTTAGGTCTGCCCTGAAGTTATTGCAACCTGCCCACTCATCAGTGTTCAGATGGTTTGCATTTTTAAATCAGCATTCTTCGCCTGTCTGAACTGCTTTCATCCCTTTTTATCATTTTCCCTGCTGTGTTTCCCCAGCACTTTTCAACACGTGGCTTCCAAACTACTGTGTAAGTTAGTCTTTGCTCAGTCAGATACTTCTCCTGCTGAATATATATTTCTTACAGGATCCACAAAGGAAGCATCTTGCAGAATCTTTTTAACAGACAAGCTTGCAGGAAGTCGAAGCTATAAAGGAAGAGGTCACCAATATTTTCCACTGAGTCACGCAACAAGTCCAAACACAATTTAAACATAATCCATAACAAAATCTTATGCTTTTTTCCCAGTTTTGTTGAAGTTGGCAAGAAACAGAAAGGGTTTAGTCTTAATTCAGGTGTAAGACTATTGAAGTTTCTAATTGTCTGTGATCGCATGTGCTTGGTGCAGCAGACTGCCTCAGCATGAAGAATTAGTCTGGACTCCTAAATTTGATATTCATATTCAGGTTACAATCTGAAAAAGGAATGAGTTGCATCATTAATTATTTTTAAATCAAAGTGAATTAATTTTTTTTCCCCTAACACTTATAAGGTCATAAAAGCACACTTGTATTTGTCGACACGCACATGTGAGCATGCACATAATTACCTTTTTCATGCAGCAAAAAATTATTTATGTAAGACAAAAAAATCAGCATACAGCAGTATATCTGTCAACACTGCAAGCAAAAGGAGAGGCACCAGTGAGAATTAAATCCGAAAACTTTACACATTAACTACTGCAGAAGCTTATCTACAATCCCTTGTTGCAAGTGGGGCCTCAAAAAGGATACTCAAATCTCTTGAAGACCGGAGCTATGCAGGCAAATCTCTGTGCTGCTTTAATGTTTTTTGCTCACAAGAAAAGCCTTGTCCTCCAGCAGTACAGCTGAGCTGGAAGCGAATTCAAGGTCATTACTGTATTAGTTGCAAGAGGACCCCTACAACCTCACAGGATCTTGAAGGCTGTGTGTGGAAAGCTGCAGTAAGTCCAGAGAAATATCAGTTTATCTTATCTCCCTTTGCACTAAATATCCAGTCCCTTCTCCGTCAGCCCCTGCGGCTTCTCACACCTCACAATCCCCAGTTATGGGAATGTCTGGGAGGAGAGGGTAGCCCCTCCACACGCTCCCCACCCTTGGCTGGCAGCAGACCCCTCTGCTGCTCATGGGGGGAATCTCCCTTGGTACCACCTGGGGATGCGCCCGGGCTCATACCCTGTGTTCCTGAAGGAAGCTCAACTCAATTGCGAAGAGAAAAACATTTGTGTAGGAAACCAGAAATGATGATTGTAATTAATTATACTGGCTAAATAAAGAAAAACAGGTGGGCTTATAGGTGTAATTATTGAATTCCACTGGATGCTTCAGAAAGAAACTTACATCTCTTTTTTCTATGCTCAGCGTACAGCTTTCAAGCTGTCAAAGCAATTCTATACAAATTTTAAAATTAATGTTGCTTATTGTCTCCAACTTCACCACCCCTGCCATAGTCATCCTCCCTACTTACAAACAATGAGACCGCTGGAGTCAAAGCTCCAGCTAAGGACAACCAGAGGAACAAGTCTGTACCTGGGGAAAGCCCCCAAGACTTAACCCAACCCAGGTTCCTGTTGAGCAGAAGTAATAAAGCTGTTTGCCCCAGTAGCTGATGATCTCATTTTGCTACGTATCTCCTGTCTGATGGGCTCTTTCAATCATTAACTGATTTAAGCTCCAACTAACACATGGAGAGGGGCTTTTTTCTAACCCAGGCTGGTTGTTTGCATGAAAGCCATGGAAAGCATGGGGCAGTGAAGTGGGCAGAAAGGGGAGACTTACTTATTTGCTTAATAGAAGCACTAGCAGCAGCTATGAAGAAGAAAGGCAAACCCCAAGGGTATCTTTGAAGCATCTCGGGAAATAAAGCTAATTCCCCAGTGGAAATTAAAGACTGATTTTCCAAAATCGGCACCCATTTATGGGAAATTTCACTTTGTTATGCTAAGATGCAAGAAACCAATGTGTTCCCCCTCCCCTTATATAGCCCATTGTTTTGCAACAAGGCGCACTTTTAATTTTTCTAAAGAAGGCCTCCTGACTATTTCTTAAATGAGAAGAGATGGATGAGGGACATCTTTTTTTTATTCCTTTGAAACATTTCTCCCTTTCAACACTGTCTATTGTTAAATTAATTTGTACAGACCCCGGCAGCTCAGAGGTCAGGATAGTTCAAGTTGATGTTCTAAGCTGTGCACTGTTATGTTAAATAGGGTTTTTCTTAGCTGCAGCTTTGTAGAGAGAAGGTCACCTCGGGGTTATTTGGGGTAGCAAATGTTAGCTGTGGGCAACCATTCCCAAAGGGCTGAGAATCAGACCAGGGTTTATTTGATGGAAAGCTTAGGCGGCCTGAACAGATAGCAAATGCTCCTTTAGTTTGCTTCATCTCTTAGTCAGCTAATTCCAGGGTATTAAGAAACCTCTGGCATAGGGCAAGACAGCTGGAGGCTGCATTTCCAGGGTGGGGAAACACACTCATCCTCTGATGTGGGAAGTGCCAAATTGGTTTTAGCATTATCACATCATTTC